TAACCCACTCTACTTCCCAAACAAGGTCTTCTAAATTATGCTTTAAATTAGCTATTGGTCAGGGGTGGATGACTTCAGAGGATAGGTAACCAGAGACTCTTTGATGTTCTAAACTATCTGCACAAAATGCTGCACAGGAATAACTGCTGTCATTTGAGAAACTTCCAGCACCAGGGTATATGGCTTATGACGAGGAAACAAGTATGAAGGAAAACAGATGAAGTCACACAGAGGCTTCACTGCTCTGTGGTCCATTATTACTGGAATGTTCTGAAATTCTTACTGGCATTTTACATGACTGACAAAGCAAGAGCCACTGAAGTTCACCAGGACACAGCTTCCATTTCTGTTTCCTTAACATCACTAAAATGATGCCATGTTGAAGACTTGCCTTACCAGTAACCAGCCGTGAGCAGAAAAAGCAGCTGCCCGTGTTGGGACATTAGCTGTCCTCAGCAGAGTCTCCAGCCAGGTCTGACTCTGAACAGTGGTGCTCTCTCCTTGGCCTTGATGCTTAGCCCCATGTAACTCGCAGGCTCTTATATTAGCCCATAATACCTCGCTTGTATTGTATGCCTGGCTGGGAACTTACGTGCTATAATGGGATGAATAAAGTGTTTATAAGCATAATTCTAGCTCCTGTGTTCTTTGTAGAGGTATCAGTAGAATTAGCTGCACCAGGACCAAGTCCTAGAAATGACATTCTCTCCCCACTTTGCCCTTAAAAACACCCAAATTACACTGTCCTCCATTTTCAGTAAATCTACTCCTTAAGGGCTTTTTCTAGAACTCTTGTAGAGAAAAATGTCTCCCTATGTTCATGTGAAGGTAGGCAAAGCATTTCTCATGTGAAAAGTGCTTTTCAGAGTGGGCGATAAGTGAAGAGATTGGTCTGTACGTGCAGACCAGCACTTGGGTTTGAATGTCAAGTCACCTAGATGTGTGCTCTATCAAAAGTTAGCTGCCAAGTCAGCCTTGTGCATGTTCGACTAGAGAACTACTTGATGGGAGATGGGGAAGTTAAATTTGGGAGGTGAGCAGCAGTTCTAAAACCAGGACCCTTGTTTTGATTACATCTTCTTTTTTCTTTGAATATACTTCCACTCTTAACTCTACCAACCTTACAAAACGTTAATACGGGTGGAAGGAGACTTTGTCCTGTTTTTACTAAGAAATGTCAGTCTAGAAATCCTACTGGGAGGCTTCTGATACATTGGATCCACTTTTTCCAGTCACTGCTTTCCTTGTCTGATATACTGCTGTATTCTGGAAAAGAACGACCTCTGGAATTGTTACTTCTGTTCATGGTCTGCATATGATAATACCTGTATTAACTTCTGGTGCCATTTTTAAGATTTTGAAAGAAAACACACTTTTACAATAAATGGGCTCCTCTTTTTTTCCTTTCTCTTCCTATTTGCCTACTTCTCCCTACCACCCACCAACCCGAAGTGTCAGGGCTCTTCAGGACTATGTCTAAAGGCAGTATCTCTCCATTTTACTCACTCTTTTGGGCAATCTTGTCCATTTATTGTTCTTTTTCATGGAGTGTATGAAAACTCATATATGAATTTTCATGTTGTGTATCATCGAATTGGAACTGACCCATAGCTGACCCACTTGCAGGTTTTCAGAAGCAGTAAATAGCATTGGAGGAAAGTGCTCATCTTTCTCTGTGTCCTCAAATCAATGCACTGAGAACTTCAGGCATCTCAAATTCAACATGTTCAAACGAGTTAATCATTCCCCTGTGTTACATTCTTCCTCATCAATAATAGTAAACTGTCTCAGTGTTATAATCATCTACTCAGTGTGTGAACTGGACAAATGGACTTGATAAAACTCTCCATCACTATATCACTTGGAATATTTTGCAGGCATGCTCTACAACCAACAAACGCCACCTAATAGTTTACCACTGTGCTTTATTTTTATTTTATTTATTTATTTTTATTTTTTTTTTGCCACTGTGCTTTAAAGCTTCTGCCTGCAAGTGGCACATACAGCTTTGCTCACATATCATTGGTCACGGTAAATCACATGACTCGCCTAACCATTAAACAGTGAGCCCTGATGGTACCGGCTCCTTGCTGGTAACCAAAAGGTTAGCAATTTGAAACTACCCATTCTTTGTTTTGGTTCCTTGGGAGAAACATCTGGCAGCTCCCATAAAGTTTGCACCGTAGAATGCCCAAGAGGAAGTTCTTCTCTGCCATGTAGGCCTCTGTGAGTCAGAATCGACTGGACAACACATGCCAACAACAATTTCAAGAGTGACAGAAGAAACCCTACATGACCAGGAGGAGAGGTGTTTAGGAAGGGTCACCAGTTTTCCTTCATGAGGGATTTAAGGAAAGCAATAGGTGCACATAACCTCTTACACGTTAACTATTTTTCTGGTGAGTTGTGTTGCCCACTAATAATTTCGTATTTGCATTACTGATAGACATTTTTAATGAAAGTGATGAATAAAATTAGTTTTGTGTGGGGTTTAACTCTCTGCTTTAAAAATGAAACAGGCTGCTTAGGTTTTTTATTTTTTAAAAATTTTATTTCCTTTCTTGTGTACCGTTGAATCAGATCCAACTGGCATGAGAGGAGATTTCGCCGCCTCCAGCAGAGCATCTGGTGGATTTGAACTGTGCCTTTAGGATTGCAGCACAGCTTGCCACTAGACCATCAGAGCTCCCTACTTAGCATTTTTAACAGCATACTTGTTTTCACCAGGACCAGTCTTCATTCTAGAAGGCAATCTGTAAGCTGCTGTTTACTAAGTAAACCAGCTAAGGTATAATTTTTTTGTTAATTTGTTTTTTTCTTAACTCTAAAAAATACCAAGTTAAAGTCATTTAAAATCATCTTTTTTTCTTAACCTTTAATGCAAGGCTAATCCCGTTTGTTCTGATCTGTGAAAAATCCTGCTCCCAGCGAGGGCAATAATCCCCAGCCCCAATAGAAGACTTCCTTTCAGTGGACATCTTTCCCCTGTTCTGCATGTCTCCCTATCGTTCATACCCTTGGACAGGCCTTGATAGTAGCAGAGTCTCAGAAAAGTACCCCAATTCTCTACCTGAACTAAACCTTTATAAATTCCTTAGTTATCAAGTGCTGCTATAACTGAAATAACACAAATAAAAGACTAACATTTATTCTCTTACAGTCTTGGGGCTTGGGGCAAAAAGACAACTAGAAATCTCCATTCAGGGTACTAGCTTTAGAAGGTGGCTTTCCCTCTGTCACCTCTGAAGGAAGGCCTCTAAATTCTTAGAATTACCAGGGCAGAGTTCAGAGCTTTTGTACGTAATAGGGTCGCTATGAGCCGTAAGCGACTCGATGGCACATAACAATATTCCCAGGTTTTGGGTTTGTTTGGGTTTTTTTGGTAATTTTTATTAAGTGCACTAAAGAGGTACACAGCAGACTACTAGACTATAAAAAGAGAAAGCACTGGGGTTTCCTGACTTCAGCTGCTCCAGGGAACTCCTAGTTGCCAAAAACGCCGCTCACTATTCGCCGTCCGTCCTTAGGGACAACAGGAGCAGAATCCCAGATACTGAGCCAATCCCTAGAACTCGCACCCCGGAAGCGCCAGTTTGACAGCACCTACCAACTTCATTCACTTGTATAAATCTAACACTACCTGGTCCCGCCTCTCACGTGGTGGCTGCACTGGCCTC